AAACAAATAATTATTTTGTGCAACCTTATATGAAATTGCAAGTCAATCAAAAATTTTGTGAAATGTTCGGTGACTGACAATTGATGCTTCTGCCATTATGTTCAATTGTTTTGTGGCAGTTGCCGAAATAATTGGGCCCATTGTTGTTGATAATGTAAGGGGTAATTCCGTCTTCTGATTGGTTGATTTCCCAGGGTTGATATCAGTCGATTCCATCTCCGTCATTTCCAGATCCCTCTTCATTACTTCCTCTTCCCACAGGGCTAAAAGGTCTGTCCCTGTACTCATATTCTTCATTATTTTGTTCCATAGGTCTAGGAACTCCGGGCATTGTAACTCTGTATTTGTCTGGGTTTCTGAGGATGTCGGATATGTCGCTGCTATATCTGATGCTTTGGTCATCATCGATGTGGTCATCGTCATCATTGTCATCACTGCTGCCTGCTTCTGATGGGTCTGATTCAATGTAGATGATATGCTGGACTTCTGCTGCTTCGAATTGCAGCATAAATCCACTGTTGACATTTGTATCTGGTTGGGGTTCTGGTTGGACACTTGACTGGACTTCTTCCATAGCTGATCCTGGTCTTGTTAGTGATGGAGGTCTGTATGGAGGTGGAGTTGGTTCTGGTGGCGGTGGTGGAGTTCTGATTCTACTTCTTTCTCGTAGTGCTTGGAAGAATTCGTCTTCCCATCCTTCTCCATGGGCACAATCCATGAACTCATCGACATGTCGTTGTGCATCATGTGACCATTGACTCGTTCGGATGTTGCCCCAATGTTCGAGGACGTCATCCATGTCACAGGAGAATAAGAGTTTATCTTCATGGTCTCGGAGCTCATATCAGGCATCGTATTGTCAGACAATCTTCTTGTGTCCCCATGTGGTTCCAGTAAGGAAAGGTAAGTAGAAGAGCCAATAATCTCTTGGTCCGTTGTTGTTACGGGTGTTCCACTCATTGATTGTGTTACGGCAAGCTGATCTGATGAATCAGATAAGTAAGTCACATGATAAAATCTTCCTCCGCAGTCAGCAAACCCA